GGGGACACACATTATTGACATAACTACAAACAATTTATGGGCAAACAACGGTTACGTTACGTCTCGTTACCCCCAGAATTCTTCAGTGCCATGCCGCCAGATCTTTCTCTCTCTCTCTCTCTCTCAATCACATCCAATGAAGGTTGGGCTGTTGGCTGCTGCCGTAATTGAATTTTGTTGCATGCAGGCGCTCTCATCGCGAGCAGGCGTCTTTCCCCTCTCGACGATTGCATTTTTGACAGCCAGCCCACAGCCCACACAGTTCGTGGCTTAAATAATAAATGAAATGACTTAATACCGTATTAAAGCATCAGGAGGCAGGTGCCGTGTCCCCGATCGTCTGAATGATGCACAAATCCCTTGGCATCTATGCGCCCCATCTACAGACAGTGCATACACTCGTGAACCACTGTACAGTACCGCAAGGGTAACGCGGAAAGTTTTTTGTTTTTGTTTTGTTTTTTTCATTGTTTCATTGAATGCTCTTGGGAATATCTTTTGGGTCGCTTCCGACGGATTTTTGTGTCTGAAAAATGTGAGAATAATTGATGAGTTAATGGATGTACAGTTTTTTTAGGATTAGCTTGAGACTTGAGTATTGAACAGTACTATTAATTTAAACATTTTAACTGTATAATTTTTGCAATGTATTTTATTTTAATCTAATGACACTCTTCTTCTTTTTCAGGTGAGTATTTCTTTATCCTTTCGATTCTCAATTATTGTCAATTACTGAGTAAGTTATAGACAGTTAAAGGAAATAAATCATCTTAAAAAAACTGCTATTTCTGTTAATTGAATATTAATTATACAATTTACTTATTCTTTAACAACAAATTGTAAATATAAAGAGAGAGAAAAAAAAAAAATCTTAAAAAATACGGGAATATTCATCACCTTTTTGCAGTTTAGTTATGGGCCAACTTTTAAAGAGAGCCCCTGACAATTCATTCTGTTTAATGTCATAGAACCATTCTCTATCCACTCATAAAACTACTGTATGGGGAGAATTCCCTAAACCATTTGAATACTTCTTTCCTCGACTGGCATATCTCTGGGTCTCTGTCCCTTCCTCCCCTTTCTTTCTGTATTTTTCAGGCCTTCAATCTTTTTGGTTTTTTCAGTATTTCGTTTTTATACCCGGTACTCGAAGAGTAAATACGGTATATTGTATTTGTGCACAAATTATGTAACACACAGAAGGAAACGTCTCCGACCCCATAAAGTATATATATTCTTGATCAGCATCAATAGCCGAGTCGATTGAGCCATGTCTGTCTGTCCGTCCGTCTGTCCGTCCGTCTTGTTGAGCGCCTGGATCTCAGAGACGATAAGAGCTAGAGCCACCAAATTGCGCCTCCTGTATTTCAAAAATGAGCCACGCCCCCTTCCGCCCCCGCAGTAGGGCGAAAACCTCCCCAATCTACAATTTTGAAGATAAAAGAACGCCATTCCGTAGGGAATGGCCATATATATCAGATCACCAAATTGGGATCCGATTAGATCATTATTATAGGCAAAATGAATAAATTAATTTGCTGTGGCTAAACCCACCCTGTCCCGCAGCTTTTGCTGTTCTTTTCACATTCTCTCATTCACACTCTGCTTCTGCTTGACTCGGCCCCTGCCTCTGCCGTCCACCTGCCACTGCCTCTGCCGACTTTTAACCCACCCCGTCCCGCAGCTTATATTTGTTATTTTTGTGTGCGGGCGCTGCCTCTGCCTTTGGGCGGCGAGCTAACGGAGCGTGTTGAGAAGTGTGAGAGTGTGAGAAGTGTTGTAGATGTAGATGACAGATGAAGAAAAAATGTAAAACTTGACAAATAACCGCTAAGGTGCAGATGTATTACTGAGTGCCGGGTATAAAAGTTGTGACGCGTTAGAAGCGTCTCACACGTCCCTTCTCCTTTAATTTGTTAAATTGTGACTGGTGGTAGAAAGAAAAAAAAAAAAGGCAAGGAAAGGATGGAAAAGTGGACCAAAGTTGCAGGCAGACAATGCCAGTGGCAACAAAGTGCCACATGAGTGGATAAAAGGGTGGGGCACTGTGGAAGTGGCACTGGGGCCGAATGGGTGATTTTAATTTTAAGTGCAAGTGCCATGACTTTTGCCAGTCACTGTGTGAGACTTTCGACTGCGATGCAGCCTCCTCCTCCACATGGCATTGCCGCTTTTGCCGTTCAAATTGCCGCTGCTGCCTTTTCGTTGTTGGCTTATTCGTTTTCATTTGTGAAATTAAATTTTGCATACGTAATAGTCGACCGTCGACGGTTTGGGACGGGGCCTTTTGTCGGCGACTGTTACCCATCATGCCATCATGCATACTCGGGCCCTGCCTTGCCGTCGTCATGCATACATATGTGAGTGTCAGTCAGGCAGTTATTAGGAGCTGAAATGGCAAGACTTTCGTCCTGTTTCGACGTTCGCCCTGTTCTGCGTTCTACTCTGAGTTCTGAGTGCCATGTGCCTGTAATTAAAACAACTTTCCTCAGTCTCTGTTTCTGTTTATGGTATCGTCTTGCTCATCCTTCCTTTTTGCTCATCAAAATGCTCGCCATAAAATCTCTGGCTGATGCTGGCTGTGGATGGGCTGCCTGTCTTTCTCCATCATTGTCCATAACAATGAGGCACTGTCGACGACACACTGGCTCATAAAGCTTTATGACCAGGCCAAAACCACACACACACAGAGACAGAGAGAGAGAAACACTCCCATGTGCCTGGGCCTGTTTCGATGTTGCCATTCATAGCCGTGGATGGCAAGGGATGAGATGGGGAGGTGGAATCGCTTTGTCTGCACAGGTGCTGGCAGGCACGACCCTACGTGTGGCTTTAAATTAAATTATTGGTTTATTTATGAAACGAAATGGTCATCAAATTGAGATTGTGATTGCAGATAACGTGCCAGCAGCACCAACAGGATATGCTGGCAGGGCTTTATAGCAATTGGTAGGAGGCATAAAAATGCTGAGATACGAGTATGGACATTGCCCCTCGATAGAGGCAGCATTTAGTTGAAAAACGATTTAGGAAAGTGCCCGGAAATTTCCGTTTAAATAACAGCATTCTCTATGTATTTTCCATTGCATTTTTCAAACCAAAAGTTAGTTGGGCAAAGAGCAACCAAAGTGCAATTCCCCTTTCTCAAGTTCATTTCGACAATTGAAAAAAGCAATTTAGTAGGAATTTTCATTCGCTATTTCCTTCGTTTTCTCTCTGCCCTGCGGCACTCTAAACACTTTTTTTCGGTGCCGTGGCCGCTCTTCCCCCGTGCTTCTTCTTTGGCCGACGGCATTCATTAATTTACCGCAACATTCCCGGCATTTACCAACACTCAACCACAGGAAGAGAAAAGAAGAGACGACACGACAAGTCTTCGTATCGACAACAGCAACATAACACAACAGAGGGGAGGCTGCAGGAGGAGCAATAGAAAATAGTAGCAGCTAGAAAGGAGGAAGGAAAAAGTTTTGCAACAAATGTCCAAAAGCCACTTAACGGCGAATTAGAGCGCAACAACAACAACTGCAGAAGAGCGAGAGAGAGAATGAAAGGAGAACTTCGAGAGGGGGAGAGAGAATGAAAGGAGAACTGCGAGTAAGAGAGAGCATTGAGAGCAGCGACAACTTACTAACAAAAAAGTACAGTTTACGCTAAAGGTATACGCAAAACTTTTCAAGCGTGCAACCCAAAAGCTTTCCCCTTTTTCCGCCAAAAAAAAAAAACACAAACCGCAGGATGCTACCCACCCCGTTCCCCCTACTTGCCCTACTCCTTCCTGCCTTCCTTCCATCGACTTCAAGTAGAGTTGTGTACGCAGTTAATTGATGATGTCCCATACAATTGTGACAACTTTCGGCTTTGCCCAAACAAATTGTAGCCTATTTTCGGGACGGATAGCCACACACACACTGCACAGAGACAGAGGCGGACAGAATTAATTGTCACCGTGGTGAATTTGCATTGCAAACAATGAATACTCTGTCTGAGCAGCATTAAATTGCATAACAAAGCGTTGAGCAGCAGCATACACGACGAGCCACAGCCATCATTCAGTTTGCAAATTGCTTTTTCGGGGCTGGACAAGCCACGCAATCCTTCAGTTCTCCCGTCCCATCCCCGAAAACCCATCCGAGCTGGCAATTTGTCAGTGGAATCATGCAAAAAACGCCAAGCAAGGCCACGCCCTTTCACGCCTCTCCTTCTCGCCTTCTGCTGATGGAGCATGTTTCTTGGTGTTAAAGTTTAATTAAGTTTTGTGGCCTGATTAAATATGTAAATATTAATAACCCACAAAGAGACAAAGAGAGAGAGAGAGAGAGCGCGTGATTAAGGAGAAGAGCAGTCTGCTCGGAACTCTGCTCAACGCTCTTTGTTGAGAGCTCATTAAGCACAACTTAAATTATCAATCATCGGACTGTTTGGCTAACGTTGGACATATTTTTTTTCCGCCTCAATTAATCAGTCAGCGACAGCGGCTGGCTGCAGGAAGATGCCAGAGCGGCCTTGGATTGCCGCCAAAGTACAGTCTCTGCACTAAATCTTAGCTGGTCTTTGGATAACTGTTTTAAAAATGCAACAATTAAACCTAAATCTACTTCAAGTGCACATGTGTACGTGAGTGTTGTGTATCCGCAGGCATTTTCCTACTTTAAGCAAAAGTTTCCTTTCCGTTAATTAAGGCAACTTCCGATGGCCGATAATGAGCATTACATATGCATTGCATTTGGCATCCAATTAGGGGCATCCAAACCACTTCTGTATCTGTGTATCGATTGCAGCAGTTGAACAAATCCGCAGAATATATCCACATGCTTATGGGACTTTTCACCCGTTTTCAATTGCAATGCAACGTTGAGGTCGTTTAATGAGCACAAGCACAACTGTACTTAGGTGCAGTCAGGTGCAATCTGCAAGGCAGAAGTCAGGCAATCCTGTCTGTAGTCAACTAGACAGAGAGACAGAGAGAGAGAGAGAGAGAGACATCGGGAGAGAGACAAGCTGTGTGCTGTAGCAACAGCATAACTTCAGCCATCCTGCAAATCAAATATGTAAATACTTTGTGGGGTAAGGAGTGTGCAACGTGTACACGGAGCGGCAGCTCGACAAGTTTTTGATAGCAGGAAATTTGCAATTTCTGGCATTAAATTTCCGCCTCAACATTCATTTCATCAGCATCAACAGCAACAGGGCTGGGCATTGAAAAGGGAAGTGGCAGGACTATAAGCATTATGCATTTGCATTATCCTGTTTCCCATAGTCAAGCAGCATACGTGTATCTGCAATTATCGAAGTGAGCTTCAGAGTATTAAGAGCTCAAAGTCGAAGGACTCTGGCCAGACTGCTATCCTCACCTTTTTCCTCCTACGAGGCGGGACGAGGGCTTGGGCGTGGGCGTCGTGCGTGCCTCGAATACTCAAGGAATTGGAAATCGGAAGGCTGCTCTCAAATGTATGCTAAGCTTTCTGTTTATGTATTTTATTTCTCCTTGGCAGAGAGAGAAGGAGACTGTAGGAGACTTAAGGCTGCCGCCTCAAAGGCGCTTGCTTTCCAGGGGGCTTTTCATAGCTCAAATGACTTAAACGATACCTGGAAAATATTACTTTTTTCTCTTTCTTTGCGAATTAGAACTTTGGCATTTCGCATTCAATTCGATTGCCTTGCGTGAGGCATTGGCATTTTCATTCTATCTGACACGTGTGTGGCCTTCTTCCTCGCTTCTGCAAACAAATGCCAACATTTTGCATTGATTTTTTAATAACAATTTTGTTGAATTTTGATTGGGAATTGAATTTCACGATAAGGAAGTGCTTAGGGGATTTAATTGTAAATAAGGGAAATAAATATTAGACGCTGAAGGTAGATAGACGTGTGGAAACGAACCGACAATGTCTTTGGAAATTTGATATGAAATATTCTGTCATTAAAATACAGACTCCATCAACAGCTTCAACAGTAGATTTCTGGCTTTTCAAACAGTCAAAAATTCCTCTTTGTATTTTCCCCTACCAGTGCCCGAGGGGCAATAGTCCGTCCAGCCTTGAGAACTCTTTATTCTCACATTTTGGCACAGCCCCATTGGGTGACCTCCTTCATATGAATTTCCATGTCTCACCTCAACAAAAAAGAGAAGAAATGAAAAAAGAAATAACAAAAGACTCTTCAACTTTTGCTCTTTCTGTTGCTGCTGCTGTTGACTTATTATCGTTTTATTTATATGTATGAATGTACATATATTCCCTCACTGGCCTTGCCACAGTCTACGTTATATGTCAGGTTTTTCTTTTAGTTTTCAGTGCTCACTTTTTTATTCATAAATATCCTTGCAGACCATGAAGAGTAGAGACCAGAGACCGCACTTGTCACACGTCATTTGATTTCCTACTTTTTTTTCAAATGAACAAAATAGCAACAGTAATAGAAACAACAACAACCCAGTCCCAGGCCCAGACAAAACCTGAGGCAGAACTTTGACAAACACTTGACGACGCCGACGACGATGTCGAGAACTCTGAATCGAGAGGAACTACTGAGAAGACGAACTCGGTCTCAGGCTCGTCGGCTCAAGTGTTTTTTGCACAATTTCTTTTCAATTCAACAAAAGTGGACCGACGACCAGAGAGGAGGCCTTTCCTTTCCTTTCAGTACCCGTACTAAACCCAAACCCAACCCAACCCTCTCTTTTGCCATGCTAAACATCACTTTTTTGTGTTGCTTTTTGTTTTTAAGGTTTTCCAACCCTCCCCCTAGGGGCCACCAAGGGAGGGCTTCTCTATGTAGTTTTGTATGCATAGAACTTGCGGCTTTTGCCCGTCCATAGACCCTCCGACCTCCTAGAATCCTAGAGAATGAGTGGGCTGTCGGTACGGGGGCATGGGCATGGGTGTGGGAAAGATTTTGTCTTTTAGCCTGATTTGTTATTCATGAAAAGGCTGTAGGAAAAAGAGTGGGAGAAGAGCAGGCTGTCGGGTGTCGGGCTTTGGGGCCAAAAGAATGCGAATGGAGCCAAGGAAATGGTTAAGAAAATGCCGAGCACACTTCTGCGGTGTCGCCCAAGAGGAAAGTGGGCAAAAGAGGGTTAAGGATAGTGCATAATAAAGATGTTTCAGAGAGCAGAAAACTTTTGCATTAAGAGGAAAGAACACAGGTTAACCCCAGAGGCCCCACCATGCTTTTGGGCAACGATTAGTAAAACGTCTTTTGGCATTTTTGGGGTCATTGGTAGAATAAATCTCCGAATTCTGTGGGATTGGCTAAGAATGAAAGAGTTTTTCGCACACATACAATACTGTTTTCTATTCCACTCAACAATTGTTCATGCAAACAATCGGTGAAGGTATCCGACATCTGCAAGCAGTCTTTCTCCCCATCTCTACGCTCACTCTCTGTTGACTTGGCTTTTAGCAATTCAATGCACAATTCAATGCCCCGTGATTCTGTTTGATTCGTTTGGTCTCTGATTTCAGCTAAGGATCTGGCTGGCTCCCCAAACGTGAGCTCACTCCGTCGTTTTGCAGATTGCATTCGATTCAAGTGAAAGTTAAATAGTTTTTTTTTTTTTTTTTTTTTTTTTTTTTTTTTTTTTTTTTTTTTTTTTTTTTTTTTTTTTTTTTTTTTTTTTTTTTTTTTTTTTTTTTTTTTTTTTTTTTTTTTTTTATTTTTTTTTTTAAAAATAAATTTTCTCTCTCTTTATATTTACAATCTGTTTTTAAACAATAAGTAAATTGTATAATTAATATTCAATTAACAGAAATAGCAGTTTTCCAATGAGCCCTGCTATTATATATAACATCTTTTTAGTTTGTTAAATTTATCTATCAGGGATATCGAGAATGTGGTATCTTTTCAGTCTTCTTACTGTTAGGCTATTGTCTAATAGACTTAAGGCTAAATTATTTTCGTGGTTGTGGAGTCTGTCGATGTATTTCTTACTGGTTTTCTTTATTTCTTCTTTAATGGTTGGAATATTCAGATCTTTGTGGATGTTTGCATTAGATACGTAAAACGGAGCATTGACAATTTGTCGCAAAGTTTTTGATTGGTAGTTAAATAGTTGAAAATATTTATAAAGATTTTTCTGAGCACAGATTTTCACAGAGAGTACACTGGGAAATGTTCGAGTTTACTGTTTCTGGTGTTTATGGTGTTTTCGTTAGTATGCAAAATTCTCTCACTTTCGCTCTCTCCCTGTCACTCTGCTTAACCCAATGTAATGCATCCACATATTTAATGTAACACAACACAAGAGAGAGACTCCGAACGGACAGACAAATGAGGCGACATTTGCATATCCCACATGCAATTTATTTATGCTAAACAGAAAAACAAGCAAAGAGACAAAGGAATTTTATGCATATTTTGCAGCAACAGCAAGCACCTGAAACTATGCAATGGACGGCTAAATAATGCGCATTAAAATGCAATTAGCTGGAACACAGAACGAACGCCAAACAACAACAGCTACATTCAACAACGAACAACACACACACACACATATGCAAATGTTTGAGTAGGAGAAGACCCTCAATGTTACCTGTGTGTGTCCATGTCTGTTGGTGGCTTCTTTCGCAAGCAGCGCCGCTTCAAGTGCCATTTGGGGTTTTGTTCTGCTTTCTGCTTGGTTTCTGTGTGTGTGTTTGTGTTTTTGCTGTGCCGCTTAAAAGTGAGCTAAATTTAGCAGAAGGCCGCGCCCCACACCAACACCTCTACACCTCCACATCCAAAGCTGAGAGAGAGAGACATAAAGAGAGATGTGTAATGAGCTAGAAATTAGTTTATGACGAAGGTCGTCCACAGACCAGCGCCAAAGTAGGCCGTAGCAGAACTGGCAACAGTTTCTTGGGTGCAAACAATTATAATGGGCTTGAAATTAAATGTTCAGCTTTTCATTGCTGTAATATGCGCGTCAAAGATAAGCAATAAGGCAAGGCAAGGCGAAGCTTCACATACCCTCAAATTATCATTCGATTTCCATCATCCTTATATGATTGGAGGTCTGAAAGTCGTTAAAATGCCAACTTCAGCTCAAAATCGTAATACTCATTCTGCCAGGGTACAAACACCCACAAACACACTCAAGAAACCCTGACATGTGGCTGAGGCATTTTGTTTACCCAAGCTGAATATGAAATTTATGTATCATGGCATGGCATGGTGATGGGCTGGCATGGTGATGGCTGGAGTGTTTCTGTTAAGCTCTCGGCTTTTGGCAGAGAGCAGAGAATTCTAATTTTGCAACAGCTTCTGGAACTGGGGGTATATATAAGTATACTTTTAACATCCACAGCTTGCCGGTTGCCTCTTGCAGCAGCTATCGATAAACAATGTTGCTTTTTTTCCACAGACAAGAGTGCGTATGATTGTGAGTATCGTCTGTGTGTGTGAGTGCTTGTCCGCATATGTGAGTGTGTGCGGTTGTCATAAATCAACATTTACATAGTGTTTATGTTTTTTTTTTTGTGTGGCTGATAGACCGGAAAAGGTAACAGACTTCGAAAGGTGAAATGATTGCTTGAATGGAAATGGTGAACTGGGGTCTGTTGTGGGGGGCTAAATGTTGCTTTGGCATTTAATTATAGATTGTATTTGCGTGTGTCCCTCAACCACATTCCATTCTTTTGTCCTAAGATTGATGTAGGACTAAATGGGGAAATATTTCAAACAACAACTTACGTCATTAAAGCATATAATGGGAAATTGGCGTAAATCGAATGCGGATTTGATTAACAATAATGAAAGAAAACATACGAACGTTAGCTATTCCTCATGCTTTCATTTAATACACTATTTATATATGTTAGAGTCAATCTTCATTTCATGTCTTGCAGCCATGGAAGATGTTTTCCAAACCAGAAAACATTCATTTAGCTAACCCTAAAAGCAAAATGTTGTCAGACTTGATGATGATGATGATGTTGCCTGTTAGGGAAGTGCGTCCGAATGACATTTCATTTCATCTGAAGCAGCAATCTTCTATGCACCATTATTAAGCACAGAGGCGGAGTGAACCCTGTTTTGGTAGCCACTCTGGGGAATTCTTGTCTACGCCCCTGACATTTGGCCCTGACTCTGACTCCAACTGTGACTCTGACTGGAGGAAAGCTATTAGCCCTTAAAAGCACAGCGGTGGCCATGCGGTTGGAATGAAAGTCAGTCTATGGCACTCTCCTTCTTTTTCCCACTCTCTCTCTCTCTCACTCTCTTTCTCTCTGTATAAAATTAACGATTTCTGAATTAGTTTTCAATGTGTTCGCCGCCACCGAATGGCAAGTGGAGTGTACACTCTAACTTTTACTCTTTGCCTTACACGGTTTGCCTTGATGTCGAATTTAAGTGCTCAAATTAAATGCAGATGTCGAATAAAAGTTTTCTCATGTCCTTCTGGTATTTCATATACTTTTACGCTCGTATCCGTACTCTTACTCGTACTCATACATTCGTTTCCATTTCCATTACCCGCTTCAGTTATGGGGAAAGTTGTAGAAAATGAGGAAAAACTCTTCACAGATGCTAATGAGATCATGCGAATTTATGAGAGAGTCTGTGAAGGAGTCTACAGATGTCTGTGGAGGTTTATTTTTGTGGATGGTATCATTTTAATGAAGAGTATTCGAAGAGTAAATAGGGTATGTAACACACAGAAGGAAACGTTTTCGACCCCATAAAGTATGCATGTATAGTCTTGATCAGCGTCGATAGAGTCATGTCTGTCTGTCCGTCTTGTTTGCAGGCTAGTTCTCAGAGACTACAAGAGCTAGAGACACCAAATTTTGCCTCCAGACTGCTGTATGCTAACACTGTTACAAGTGTATTTCAAAATTTGACCCAGTCCCCTTCCGCCCACGCAAAAGGGCGAAAACCTCCCAAACCTATAGCAATGACCATATCTATCAGATAGCCAAATTGGGATCCGATTGGATCATTATTATAGCCACAATGAAGAAATTAATTTGCAGTGGCGAAACCCACCCCATCCCGCAGCTTATATTTGTTTTTTGCACATTCTCTCATTCACACTCTGCTTCGAGCAATGTGCGGCCTCTGCCTCTGCCGCGTCTCTGCCGCAGTTTTAAATAGGTTTAATTTATTAATATGTGGACCTTACGACTAGTTCCAAGAAAAGCCTCTTTGTATGCAAAATTTCTTCAAGAAAAAACGAAAAGCAGGCCCCACCTCTGCCCTTTTCGACATTTAATATTCTTTCGTTCGTGCACCCTTGTACTATCTTCTGCCTATTTTTGGATAAACTCTCCTCTAATGCTATCATTCATCATTAAAAATACAAATATAATACAAAAATACAAAATACAAATACAAGAATATTGCAAGCGGAGCTGGTCAGAGACAGGAAGGCAAGGGCAGTGGCAGTGGGTGGAAACTCTGGCTAAATAAAGATCCAACGTCATCATAAAAACTTTGTTTACCACGCCTCGAACTGCCCTTGACTGCAGAACCAAATACCGAATCCCGAAATCTGGAACCCCTTCCGAAAAGAAACCTTTGGCCTTTTGTTTGCCCCCAAACAAATGGAGACGAAAAGAGCACAGAAAGCAGAGTATACGAGTATTTCCTAAGCTTTGTGGAATTCCATTTTTATGTTTGTGTATAAGGCACAGAGAGAGGCACAGATACCGCAAAGTCATAAACCCATTAGCCCATGAGATGGGCCCCATAGGCGGATGATGGGGTACGGGGAATAGGTGGATGGTTGGCCCAACCCCGGCTGAGGCATTGTTTTAGGCAGTATTTGTCCCTGGTGCTGCGTCTACACTGCCTCTGGTTCTGTTGATGCGGAAAATGAGCAAGGAAATAGAGAAAATCCAAACACACACAGAGAGACTGAGAGAGGGCCGGGATAACGACCGAAGCCACAAGGACGTCGTCAGCTGAGACGACAAGGTCTTGTTAGGTTAAATTATGCATAAATGCCACGCCCACAACCCCACTACAGGCATATGTATGCATACACCTTGGCATTTGATAATTGAGCCAGATCAGAAACCATAAACCAGAAACTAGAAACAGAAACAGGCAGCATCAATCATCACGCCCAGAAAATGGGGCTGTGCCTCTCAGTAATTCAAAACAAACAAGAAGAATATTGTGGGGATTTAGAGACTATAAAATTGAGAATACCATATTGACCTTCTTATATTAAGTGTCCTTAAGGAGTAGGAAACGGTTCCTTCCATACAAAAATACTATACTCTAAACCCTCCTAGAGTTACTCTCAAGTACCTCCTGCCAACACCTTATTTAAATACCCGCAAACAAGAACTATATGCTTAATGGAAATCATTTGAATATTTAAAACTTCGAAAACATCAAAGAAACCGCACAGAAGCTGTTAAGCAATGTTTGTGGTCAAATAAAAGCACCCACAGAATGGAATCAGAAAATAAAATTATTATTTTCATCCAAGAAAAGCTTTTAAGGGAACTAGCTGCAATATTCGGCCAACGAGCGCCAAATATTTGCTCAATAAATAATAAGCAAAAGCCGCAGAATGTGGCCGCATCTGGAATATTGCTTCTTGGCCAGAGAACAAGTGCACAAAATCGAGCAAAATGAAGCATGAAAGTATTTACAGGAATACATATATAAAAGGAAGGAAAATCCACACACACATAAACATTATGGAAATCGTTGTGGAAATTGCTAGTTCAATAACCAAGAGCATTGTCTGTATCTAATGCATGTATAGTGGAGAGTTTCTACGCTTTTTGAATTTCCAGCTAAATAAAATATTGATAAACATTCTACTGCTGCTTTCTTTGATTAATTTCCCTGGCAACTGTTTGCGTGAAAAGTTTCTTCTTCCCCCAAAACAGTAGTTAAGATGATTTGTTCACTTTTCATTTGGAAACTTTTCAGGAATTATATTAACAATAAAGTGCGAGGGAAGCTTGCCCAAAAAGTAACCTCCAATTGAAATTGAAATGCAAAACTCGTGCTCCGGCAACTGTCGTTTCGTCTGTCTATTGCAGAAGTACAGTCCTCATCCGTCTACAGTAACCCCCTTAAATAAATAAATAAATTCTTTGCAAAATTTGCACAAAAATAAAAAGGAAGATATACAAAAGAAAGAGGAAAATGTACAAAATGTCTTGTCTTGGGCAGAAGTAACGAAAGCTGCAGGAACAGTAAGAGATACAAAAATACGAGAGGACAGACCGTCAGTCGGAAGAGCAAAACATGGAATAAAGCGAAAGCCAAATGCAAACGACAGGACAACCATTTTTATGGCCTCAAAGCATAAATGTATTACAACAACAAAAACAGCTACAGCTGGAAAATTTATATGCAAACGAAAGGAATAGGGCGTGGCGTTCAGGATAGGGTTATCCGCGGGGCCTGGGCAGCTTGGAACGCTAGTTTTTTTTTTTTGCTTTTTGCTTATGGCGCATATAAAGCGTTCAAACATTTTTAATGTCCATCTGCGTGAGGATTAGCATAAAATCCGCTATCCTTTGGCCCGACCCTGGCCCTGACTCGAGGACCAGTATCCTCTCTCTATGCATTCTCTACCGAAACGTGAGGTGTAACTTTATGTCCGCTTAGGTTTAAGTACGGTTCTGGGATGAATGGTATACATTGTATTGTGTATTTATATACCTTTCGAATGCCTTGATTTCTCTGTAAAAGCTTACGCATACATTTTATGGTCTTTAAAGTATGAGATTACCAAATGAAAATGTTGGCCATTCAAATGGAATAAGTAAGAAAACGATGCAATTTATAAGCCCGCTGTAGGAGGGTGTGATGGGGGAATCAGAGAACTGAAAATCTGTACTCTTTGTGACTCGTTCCCATTTATTTTCACATAAATTAAGTCTTTAAAGATTTGCTTCAAGAACGGATATAAGGCACTATATTTCTTATATTTTACAAACAATTTCAACCACTATATTTTCTTTACTAATATATAGTCTTTCACTCACCACTTCTCTCTTTTTGCACAGAATGCGGTCGTTCATTGAGGAAAATGAGAAGAACGATCCGTTGATTAATGCTCCGGATAAGAAGAACAATCCGTGGGCTGAAAAAGGAAAATGCGTTATTATGTAATATTATCGTAAACCACAGAAATACCGTAATACCTATGATAACCAGCCAAATAACACCAGTAATAATAATAATAATAATGCAACAACAACAAGAACAACCCATTCTACAACAACAACAACAACAAATCCAACTGCAACTGCACCAACAACAGCGGCTGCAACAGATCAACAACAATACCAGTACATAAATACCACAACCGATAGCAATCGATGTAGCAGCCATAGAGATGATTCCCCGGATGATTCCTCCTCTTCCATTCGCCGAAATGATGATGATGATGTTGATGATGATACCCCAGATCTTATCCCCGTAGAGTTGCAACAGCAGCAGCATTACAACAACAACTATTACTACTACTACAACTACAATCTGAGCTATGTGCCCGAAGATTGTGCCCCGGGAGGCAGCAGGCGTCCGAGTCGCCTCCAACAGCTGAAGCGTCGCACGCAGCACGAGCTACAGCAGTGGCCAATGCTGATGCAGCTGCTGCTGCTGGTCCTCTGGCTGAATGCCCGCTTCTGGCGAATCGTTGACGAGCAGGTTACGTACCGACGAAGGCGATGGCATTGAGATTTGGGGAGCAGCGAGATCGAAGGAACGCAGCGGATCGGAGCAGAGAAGAGCTGGGTGCTGTTAATGGTGTTGCTTGGGTATGAGATCCGATCTATGCTTAAGTTGAATCAAAAATTATGCCCAAACTCTCTTTCAAATCTCATCTCAATAAAATTAATCAAAACTTATGCTGCAAAATATAGTCAAAGCAAAATCAAATGCAACACAGGCAGAGATACCCACATCCCGAGAGAGAGAGAGCAGAAACAACATCAACAACAAACTTTAAGAACAACAACAAAAGCGAGTGCACTCGCTGCTCGTTACATTCTGCTCACGCACGTACTCGTTGCATCAACGCGATTGCTCTCGTCCACATTGTGATCACTCTGTCGTCTCGTCTCGACTCGTTTCTGTCTCGTCGTCTTATGCTCGTCTTACTATTTTTCCTCTCTCTCTCTCTATATCTCTTAATCGTTCATCTCTCTCTTTTTCTAGCTATCGTTCCCTAGTACAACTATCTTTATTGCTATTTCAGTTCCAATTGCATGACATATACATTCTTAGAAGTTTTCTTTTGATATCGCTATATATTTTCCTCTGTTCTACCACACCTTCTCCACCAATGCAAATCCACATCAATCATCATCGCATCATCCCAAACCCACCACCCAAAAATCAAACAAATTCCCACACTAGTCGACAAAAAAAACGCTAACTCAATCATATCAATTCAATGTCAAAGCCTCGATAAATGTGACCCACCCACATCATTCTGTAGAAGAGAAGCCTTAGCACCCGCCTCCCAAAATAAAATCCCATTTTATGTTATCCAGCGAAACCGAAGAACAAAAGATCTTCTATGAACTTTAATCCAAAGGTTTCCCCGCCCTAAGCTTGCCTAAGAATCAAAACTAACACTAAACTTAAAACTATCCCAAATGCAAAAGTAAAGGCAAAATCAGAACAAAATAACAAGAAGAGAAGAAGTAGAATCGTATTTTGAGTAGCGCTTTTTGATTTATTTGGTAGTCAGGCAAACGCTAACCGAAAACAGCAATTTCAATTGTGTTTCTCAACATAAAATATAAAATACATATAAACTATGGATACTATAATTTTATATACAACATACATACTATAGGGGTTAAATTTAAAGGCAGACGCTGTAGATGATGATTACTCGATTGATGATTAAGCTTTAGTTCTAGCAAGAGATATGTTAACTTATGATTATCTAGCGACAATTATTATATACGCAACATACAACAACACACAACAATTACACCCAAAAAAAAGATACACTTGAAACAATAAGAAGAACAACTAAAAACCCTAATTGAAGTAGTAGAAGAACCCATGATATTTATACGAGTATATGGATCATAGTAAAAAATAACATGAAACGATTAGCGAGAAATATTTTAGTGAACAAATCCAAAAAGTCAGCTGAAACTTTATATGTTTAAATGCGAAACTGCAAAATGGACTTGAAAGAAGAACAAACAAGAGGAAAAACAACTATATTATATTATATATTATTAACTATTATTACGAGTAGATACGATATTGGGAGGGCGATCCCCAAAGGCCGACCAACAAACAACAAACAAAATAAGGCGCTGTTCAGCTAATCGAAAAAATATATAGTGAAAATCGTTTACGTTTAATAAAATACTAAGTTCAGCTTACCGCTACGCGAATATGATTTCCGATTTCCAAACTTAGGGATGATATATGATTTCAGCATATATATTTCAGCATTAGAAGGATGAAGCAGTAGAAGAAAAACAAAAGACAACAATCAGAACACCCCGAAAAAACACACAGACATTCCACAGACACAACATATTCCATACACTACGAGGCTACCACTGAGGTTGCCCCAAGATGAAATATAGTTAAGGAAACACTCGAATGAGTTGAAAAAAACTCATTGAGAGGAAAAAAATATGAAATAATCCAAAAATATATAGCACATTTAATGTTAATTTTAAGTTGAGGAACAAACAAAAAAGTAGCGAAAATTCAGCAGAGAGCGTAACATTAATTATACGAGTAAGTAAGTCGCGCAAAAGACACCAGAAAACATAGGAAGCCGAAAGGTAATCAACCTACAAAATAAGCAGATAAACGAAGTGAATCGACACGAAGATACAGAGGGGGAAGCAAAGTCACCAAATAAATAAGGAAACACTTCAACGAGAAGCGAAAGCAGAAGCAGATGTACGATGATGAGGATGAGGATGAAATGGAGCGAGTGCACTCCCAGCGAGTGCTCCTAACGAGTGGAGGAGGAAATACACATAAATAGCAAAAAAACAAACACACATGCTTAGTGGTAAATCTTAAGAACGAAAACAATCTGCAATCAAACTAGAGAACGAAAGATCTAGGGAAACCGAAATCGAATGTGAAGCGAAGCTACATCGAAGAAACACACACACCTTTGGTGGAAGCACAAAGTAGCATTCTGCTATTAAGAAGAACGATGCAAAAACCCAGCAAAAGTGTTTCGAACTCGTGGCCGAAGCTAAAGTACATACACAAAAAACTAAATTAAGGTATTGGTGGTTACAAAAATATTATATTTGTACAACTCTAATTGATGTTAGAAAGAAACGATTCTGGAATAACGATATAATCAAAAAAGCCCGAGGTTTGCAATGACTCGCTGTGATCTAGCTGCATTGCCAGACCTCACAGACAGGAAGAAGATTGGCATAGGGAACATGTCTGGCAGCATTGCTGCTGCATGTTCCGTATCCATCTTGCGGGTGTACACGTCTGTTTATTGGAAGTTGAAATAAAATCAAATTATATGAATATACGAATATATATATATGTGTGTATAGTGTTGTACTTGAGAGTGCAATCGAGTGTCGTGCCACAGACTCAGGCTCTTGAAGGCTGAGAAGCGTTTAAAATAATTCCAGATAGTAGTTTTATGGGGTCTGACTGTACACGTCGCTCAAGAGCGCATTAAGCACGCCGAGTACCCGGGCACGGAGTCCCGGGGAAACGGGTGTGAGGGTGCCACCAAAATTGAACGATTAAACAATCGGCCAAAGGATTGATCTTTTTTGAGAAGAGAAGTCTCCTTCGATGATGTCCATATCATACGATTTCCACGAGGCCTGGGCTGAGTCTGTGCCATGAACACCGCTTGTTTTCGCTCACCAAAATGTACTTACACTTTCTTCAGTATTTAATCGACTAAATCGTTAATTAACATTCAAAATAAATACAATTAATTATGCGAAAGTAACTTGTGAAGTGAAAATTTAATGGAAGCGAAAGAAAAGAAAAGTAAATGGTAAATTTGAGTAATTTTCCAGCGAGTAATATAAACTATATATATAAATGTTAACGTAAATAATCAGAAAGCCAATTCTTAATTGATCGGAAGTAGTAGATCGACTCGGGAATACAATTAAAATCTCGATAGATCTATAGGTTGATAGATGAGACGCGCAAACGGGTGCCAACCAGTTCGATAGACAGAAAAGGTCCTGTCAGGAGCAGATCTTTTGGGCGTATGCCGGGAAAAAGTAATGGAAAAACTTATTAAATATAATGATCAAACGATTCTCTAGGCCGTAAGTTGATGTTACAACAGAGTTCATTGAAAGAGCCTTTAAATATTATATGGCATACCAGATTATTATGGATTAAACCAGCATTAAATATATATAAACCTACATATATATGATATGAAATATGATATCGATACAACAATATATTGCAAGTATTCAAAAATTCATTGGACAAAAAAGCCTAAAAGAAACTTTTATTGTTACAAATTTAGGTATAAGTCACGTAGCAGATAAGATATTTGGACATATAGGTTACGATTCTTACGATATATATACATAAACGATTAACAATAAAATGATTGATTCTTAAACTTGTCGAATTGCGAACTCAGACAAACAAACAAAATGCACGGTGCCGCACAACATCCACAGGCTAAACCAGAAACCAAAAGATACCAAAAACAAAGAAAAACCAACCCAACAAAACAATTATAATTTAGTCAAAGGAAAAATCTAGCTTGTAAGTGAATTTTAACGCAGCAAAACAAAACAAAAACACAACAGAAAGAAACGAAAGACAAAACTACACGAAAAGAAAGGTCAAAAGACATAGGAAGAAGAAAGTGGCAGAATGGAGGAGAATTCACCAAGAATGAAGGCAAACCAAAAGCAAAAAAAAGAAAACACGAAAACTCAAAATAGTATGATATAAACGAACATGTATTTAGCTGTTAACAAAAACCAAAAAAAAAACTACTAAACAAATGGAAAACCCAAAATACCAAAACAGAAAAACCACAAAAAACCAAAGCATAAGTATGATTATCATTAAAGGAACTTCTCTAAATAAAAAGTAAACTTTGAAAATCCTTAGTGGAGAAAAACTACCCTCTCTCTCTATAAAAAAAAAAAACAAAAAACGAAAAACCAACAAAAATATTGTCGTTTGTGTTTTATTTCCCCAGTCTCCCCAGCCAAGCGAAGGATAGCTTTCCCCCCACCAGAAAATCCCCCCTCTGATATATTGATGTTGATGATGATGGCTTGCCTTGTGTGCTTTTCCCCCTCCTTATCATTTGCCTTGCATTTGCTTGAGTTATTTTTTATTTATTTAATACTTATTTGGAATTAATGTTGTTATGATTTTTGGTATATATTTGATTTTTTGGGCTGCATATAAGTATACAAATAATTATTGTGCCTGCGCTTGAGCTTCGTTTTTGAGAAAAATCTACATGTCTTTCTACACATTACAACGATTTGCATACTTTGGTGACTACACGCCCCACCCTCTTTTGGTGACCCATGACTTCTGAGTCTAAGGTGTGTGTGTGTAAAGGGTGCTCTTCCTTCTTTCAGCTACATCTTCAGCGATCAACGTAAGTATGTATGGAAATGAGAGCCCGAGAACAAAGAACTGAGGAACTGTCAGAGTTCCTCAGAGACAAAGTCTGGCATCTGCTGTTCGCAAGCAACTTTTATCTTTTCTTGGCACGGGATAAGCAAAACTTTTTTGCAACGCAAGTTTTCCTTACGAATTTTCAGCAACTTTTCGCAGAAGTTTACCCTCCGTAGTGGAACATGTTTCGTGTAATTAGCAAACGGTGCGTATGCGTAATGGCATTACGCTTCAAGTAAGTGCATTATGGAGCAAACAGGAAAAACGGTTTTGAACAATTGAAACAGCAAACGACAGAGAGAAAGAGAAAGTGAGAGAGAGAGAGTATATATTTCTGTTTATATTTCTGCCTTTGACCAGCGACAATTCAATTAAATACCATTCTGGCACTAGGAATAGGAATCCTGTTCGTTTTGCATGGCAATTGAAATGCAATGATGTTTAAATATTGCAGACACACTCGCAGGAATGGAAACTCTCGTTTAAATGCTATTCCAGCTTAACAAATCTGTTCGGAGTCAGTGAACTGTGCCAATGACTAACTAACACACTCGTCTGAATTCAATTTGAAGATGGATTGGAAATATCTGTTCGCTTTTTGTGTCACTATAACAATGAATCATTCGAGAGAGAAAGAAACTCTTTTAATCATATATTTATGTGAAATAAATAAAGAAATTCAATGAATCACAGAGCACAGTTTTAATGTTTGACATTTCGGAGGGCATACAATTATTTGCTTCTAAGGCTGCTGATTTTCTTTCTTTGTGCCGCTTTAAAGTTGTGGTTCGCATGCCTGTTTCTCTCGCTCAAGTGGCTGCCACTAATAAAAATCTACATATTTAGACACATTTCATATGCAAATTGGGAGCTCCGAAATGGCAGCCCTTCCGAATTTATATGCCAATTGCCAAAGTGTGAAATTAATGCTGCCCTAGTGAACGATCCGAAGGGCAAAAAAAACCACACAACAAGCAGTCCGGAAGTGTTTAAATTACCATGAAGCTATAAAAAACGAGAAAGGATGTGTGAGACGCTTTGCTCGCGTCACAACTTTTATACCCGGTAGTCAGTCAGTATATCTGTACCATAGTGGTTTTTGTTTTTCTAATTTTACATTTTACATTTTTTTCTACATATGTCATCTACATCTACATCCCTTCTTACGCCAACGCATGGTGTGGAATGAGAAAGAATGACCAACAAAAACAAAAGCAGAAGCATAGCTGCTGGACGGGGTGGGGGTAACCACTGAAAATTAATTTCTGCCTTCTGGCTATAGCAAAGATTCAAATGATGCAGCCATCCATCTGGATGCAAAATTTGGTGGCTCTAATTTGTATAGTCTCTGATATCCAGGCGCTCATCAAATGACCAGCGGACGAACAGACGGAGAGACAGACAGACATACTTGTCTGTTGATGCTGATCAATAATATACTCTATGGGGTCGGAAACGGTTCCTTCTGTGCGTTACATACTTTCCATACATCCACTTTCGAGCCCAAATACAATATTAACTCTTCGAGTACCAGGTATAAAAATGAGAAGAGACAGCAAAAAGGTGGGGTCGGTCGGACGGTCTTTTTTGTTGGTATTTATGACCCACCGTTTCCGTTGTTGTCCCCACATCAAGTATTCATTCCCCACTTACTCGCTCACTCACTGACAAAAAGGTCTCCCTCTCGGCATGTGGTCGTCTCTTTCAATCAGAGATTCAAAAGCAGAAATCAGCGGGAGATGATATAGGAATGATTGTGTTTGAAGGTTGGGTGATGGAATAGAGAGAAAAGTGTGTTCAGTTTTTTAAGCCAAAAGTGCCATCTAGTTAGTCGCATACAATCACAATTTGCATATCGATTGGCCAAAGTGCATTTGAAAACTGTCAAAAACCACACGAGTGCCTCGGTACGAATGAATTGCAAATGAGGAAGCACCACACAGACTGCTGATTGGACTACAATCGAATATAAATCGAGTACTTCGAATATGCAAATCATTGTCAGGCACTGGCAGACTGTACTTTCCATTCAAGAGTTAAATGTGATTAATAATCGAGTGAATAAATGACTGAATGGCAGACTGGCACACAAAACAGCTGGTAATTACAGTTGACAAGTGTTCTGGGACAGGAGACCCTTTTATTCACACAGTCAGCACACCAACTATTCATTCATTCATTCACTTGCAATTTGTTTTGCTCTGTTTGCCATTTTGGCGCCTTAGTGTCGACATTTTCTACGCCATTTGCCCGTCTGTCCGCCATATCCTTGCTTCTCACCACCACGCCATCATGTCACCATTGAGTCTTTCTCACTCCCGTGGCTCTCATTAAATGCAATCTCTAATGCAATTGACATGGCTTGTCTCTTGTCCTCTTTCCTCCGCCTTTCTCTTTCTTCTTTTAGAGTCCTTCGGCCTCGGGGTTTTTGTGATTTCTGCAGTTCAGTTCGCGCTCTCTTCTCTTCTGTTTGATTATGAAAATTACTTTGAGTGTTGGCTGATTTTTAATGAGTGGTGCAACAGAGAATATGCACCAGACGCAGATCCTGCCTGCCTCCCTTCCCGTCTCATCTCTAATTAACATTTCATAGCCTCCTGGGGCATTCCTTATCAAGCATACGCAGCGTTGGCCTTAGCCACATCCTGGCTTAAAACTTTCCCTAATTCTCCTAAGGGACCTCCTCCTCCTCTCAGGTGCGAGAGCAGCGCAGAGCAGAGCAGTCAACTAACTGTCAGCACAGGGATTTATCCACCAAAAAAAAAAAATAATAAAAACGAAGAGGGAATTTCAACTGTTTGACAGTCAGCCTTAGTTACCATCTGACTGAAGGACAGGCTACTTGACAAGCTGTAACCAGAACCAGAAATTCTCACCTGACTGCTGCATCCTCAGACCCCACCCAAATGATTTATATTTTATTTAAAAAAGTAAAAACGGAAATTATCAGGTTTTACTCTTTCAGTTCTTTTTTTTGTGGTTTCTTTTTTGAATAAAGTTTGTTTCACGTTTATCTTTCTTTGCGCTTTTTTTTTGCCTGACCAAAAGTTTCTTTAAAGCCAGGGCCTCCTGCCTGGTGATAAAAACAGCTAAAAGGAAGAAAAGCCAGTGCCAGAAGCAGCTACAAATAAGCAAGCATAAGGGAAATTTAAACATGAATAATGAACGGCATAACGAAAGAGTGCAGCCCCTCCCGAAATAGTGAAAGGTCACAAAATTAATCAAGAATGTAAAGTCGGGCCAGTCTTTTTGTGGGAATAGTTTTCGCAGAAAGTTTTTTCCTGTTTTCAGTTATCTAGTTGATTCAAATGGTTGCAGAGCAGTCAAGAGTTGCCAAGTGAAACATGTCTGAATTATCCCAGAGGAAACTTCTCTGGGAACCATTTAGTTATTGATGGAAACACTACTTAAATTTGTATTGCTCCAAATTGGTGCAGAATGGCGAATAGTTTGTCTTCTTGATTGGGTGTAGTTTAAGGAGTTGTTTTCTTTTTTCAATGCCCCACAAAAATATCCCTCAAGTCACTGCTGAGGTTAAATCACGTTACTTCCATTTTTTTTGTTCATGTTTTCCAGCCCATTTCTCTCTTTTAAAATTTTTCATAATTTTTGCAAGCATC